TGGGCATGCTGGAAATGGGCTCTGAAAGCAAATCCTGGTGGGCTCTGAGCTGGCAAACACCCCCAGCTGGGTGCTCCGCCCAACCTGAGAGCCCTGGTTGTGGTGGGGTGTGAGCAAAGGATGGAGACCATGAATGGGATTTTATGGGAGTTGTGGGGAAATGCCCTTATCTAGAGGATGGGCTGCCCACATGGATGGTTAAAGCAGCAGACAGGGTGTCCCAAAGGCAGGATTGTTGTTCTGCCTGGTCCCTTTCTCCCTGGATGCGGAATGTTCTCCATCCCTCGGACTGGCTCTGTTCAGCCTCTCACAGTGCAGTGTGTGTCAAGCCTAGAAGTTTTATGATTTGGAGGACAAACCCTGAGCATGGGCTGGCACAGAGTGAGGTGGTTCCATACCCATGAAAACAATGTCTGTAAACAGGGAATGTGGAAAACCCCACGGCACAGTAAATTTTACCACATCAAGGAATGAAAATGCAATAACGTCTCATCCACGTTGCTTTGTGCTGGTCAGCGTGGATGGGGGGATATATAAATTATATATAACCCAGGGAACTTGGGTTGTAGCTCTGGTCTTTACAGGGCCCTGAAGCCATGTCACCTGTGGGTCACATTCAGATTTCATTTAAACCAGTGCTGATCAGGAATAACTCCAATAAGAGCAGTGTTACCCTGGATTTACACCAGGCTAAGGCGCATAAGCCTGAAGATCAGTGACTGAAGGAGAAGAAGTTTCAACATAAATGGTGTTACTACAGAAAAGTACCTTGATTGAAGCACAGGTGTTGAATGTTAATCACTGTAGGCTTGATCCAGCATCTGTGTAAGTCAAAAGCAATATCCCATTTTCTGCAGCATCTCAGGACTGGATCAACAGCAGGTAAAAACTAGAGACCAAATCATCTTTCTCTTGTACCATTGCTAGAGGGTGGGAAGTGCCTGGGACTTCTGTGGAGGCATTTCTGATTTATGCCACGGTGCAAAAAAATAATCAGGCCCTGTCTTCTGCTTCTTGGGTGTTTTCAGGGAATCATGATGGCATTTGGAGCAATTTTACCTTGAGATCATCAATTCAGACCTGGGTGCCAGAAAAGGTTGTTACCAAAAGCCAGGTTCTGAAATGAGTGGGGTTCTGGGGTATGAAATTTTCTACTGGTACAAGAAGAGCAGTTATTTCACAGATCCTCTTAACAAAAGCAGATTGGAGACTACAGCTTGAGGTACACTGCTGTCTCCCCTTTGGCAAACACAAGACTTGGGGCAGATGCTTGACTTTTGTTAAAATGTGTGAGCTCAGCCCTGGTGAAGTCTCCTTTTAGGGCTGGTGCTGAGGAGACCATGGCTGCAGTTACAGACTGGGGATTGACCAGGATGAACATGGAATCAATTTCCCCAAAGTTTGCAATTCCTTTGTGCTATCAGGGATGGGTTGGTGATCATCCCTGGGGCCCAGGGTGACTCTCCCTGTGTTATTTGCTCCACATCAGACCGTGCCTGCCCAAAGAGAGGAGCAGAGGCTGGCTCACATGCCCCTGACTGGTCAGACCCATCCAATGCTCACTCCTCACATGCTGGCAGAGCCCAGCTCGGCTCTGGCAGCTGCCAAATGCAGCTGGAAGCACAAATCATTTCATAACTGCTGGTGTTTGTATGGCTGTGCTCGGGTACTCCTGTGGCCAGGCCTGTACATCTCTGTTATGGGCAACTATTTACACTAAAAAAAGAAAAAAGAATACAATGTCATATTTGCTCTCATCTGGATTCATGAGATGGATTTTGTTGTGTTCTCTGTGGTGAAAACCAGTCATTTGTGTCTGCAAATAAACACAGCCATTTTGGCCTCAATCAGCTCCTCTCCAACAGCATCAGTTAATTGTACTTTGAAATCCCTTTTTCTGTCCTAAAATGTGCTTTCTGATCATCCTCTCAGAGCAAATAGGGTAAATAACTAACCAATGTGAGCAACCACAAAGCCATAAACATTTTACAGATGTTCAGCCAACATCCATGAATGCAGACAGAAATTCCAAACTCCAGCCATGTGCAATGAGCCCTTCTTGGAGGGAGGATGTGCACTGAGTAGTTGGGTGCACTGTAAATGTGCCTGGTTAGTAAGAACAGGCTTTTCACCACAGATCACAGGGAGCCCCTTCGTGGAGCTGAAATGCCTTTGCACCAGGTCTCTTGCTCCCAGCCAGAAAGTATCTCTCTCTCTGATGAGAAAAGGGGTTTTTCTAATTTATTGCTTTTATGGGATTGTTCCTCCACAGAGGCACAAATAGCAGCATATCAATAAAGCCAGTCGTTTGAAGTTGGATATTTCCACCTCTGTCACAGCAAAATAATTAAAAAAGGATTCACAAGATCATAAATTGCATGTCACCAAGGACACAGCCTCCTTAACCCTTTAAAAGCCAGGCTGTGCCCACCCATGGCCCATCTTACTGAAGGCATGAAGACACATTTGTTATTTTTAGCACCTCAGCCACAAGGGCTTTCTTGTCTGGAAAGAGATACAGTAAGAACCAGTGTGCACAGGGAATGAACTGGTGGGATCCTGGCCCAGCTCTGCTATGCAAATGCACATATAGATTTGATTTCCAGCCAGGCAGACCAGGAGCTGTGCTGCAGACCTGCAAGAGCCCAGCATTTACTCACATAGAAGTTAAAACATGTTACAGGCACACCAGGCATTGGGGAATAACATTTTCAAAGTGTGGCAGCATGAAGAGGGCCTAAAATCATTTGTTCTCAGTTAAAAGCTCCTCTGGTTTCAGCTAGGTAACAGAAAAGGATGGAGGCCATCTGGGCCAGAAACTCCTGTTGTCCTGCTGATCCCTCCCCAGCACAGACACAGCCAGAACACACCTGAATCATTGAAAAGAAATATTAATACAAGAAAAGGAATGAATACTATTTTCTAGGTGGGTTGCAACTTGGTTCCCCATACATCAGCCAGTGCTCCAGCCTAATTTGGTTACAGTCCGGTTAGCACCCATTGTTAAATTCTGCAGGTCACCTCCTGCCCTGTTATAAACCCAGAGAGCTCCCTGGAAAAGGCTGAGGGTGTAAATCTGCAGGTCTGAGCCCTGTTGGCCCCTGGGAGCTGGACACCCAGAGTGTGCATTACTCATGATGGTGAGAGATGCCTGCTGGGCTGTGGGCACAGGAATGAACCAGGGTGGCTTTGTCCTGAGGGAAAGCACAACCCCCAGCCACTGGCAGGTTGCTGGTTTGGTGTTGCTTTCATAAAGACCACTCTTGAAGCCTGCAGAGTGTGCAGCACCAGGAGAAATCCCACTGGAGGTGGATTAGGGGGAGGAACCGAGCTAAGTGTGGTTTATCACAGGGCAGTGTAATTATATTACACATATCCCATGGCTACATCCACTGTCACCAGCATGAGAGGGAGGCATGTGGGTTTGCCTCCCTATGCCCTCCCAATCCAAGACAAAAACCCCTGGAAAAGAGTGGGATTTTCCTTTTTGTTACACCAGAAGAGGATGGTGGGACCTGTTTTACCCAGCCTGAGATTTCTTGTGTAAGCTCCTTAGAGAAGGAAGTAAAGAAATCAGCCATTGTGGAATCTGCTTTTGGTAACACAACCTAAGTTTTCACGGGGAGAGTGAGATTTGGGACATAGTGCTCCATTATCAGAAGCTCAGGCAGAAGTGAGGCAGGTACAAGGGGTCTAAAGATGCCTTTTTCCTGAGCAAAAGGTTTCTTGCTCTGATACAGACCCAGAAAATCAGAGGAGCTCAAAGTCTTTATGCCTAAATAGCTTCAGTTTTGTAATGATCATAGCAAACACAATAAAATTAATACCTTAAGCCAGGAAAGCAGATGCAGAGCAACAACACAACCAGTGGGTGCTTGGTTTTAACTAACACCCTTTCCCCAGCTCACGCTTTGCATGGCTGTAAAATCAGGAGCAGCCCCCAACCCTCAGGAGCCCTGCCCTGCCTTCTGGTCTTCTCTCAACATGACACCAAATTAGGACCCTTCAGTGGCAGAGGCACAAACCAGGCAGACAGGAGCACACGGCCCCTGGGTGCAGGATTACCGGGGCTTTGCTGGAGGATGGGGCAGAGCAGGGAATTGCAGCTCCCTGCCCATCACAGCCAGGCAGAAAGGGCCTGAGGAAGGGGCTGTGCATATGGAGAGGGGCAGCAGCTGAGCCCCATCTGGAGATCCCTGGGGATGTGCCAGAGAGGGGTGGGAAAAGCAGAGGATGAGCTGCAGTGTCCAAAGCAGGAGCAATAAAGGGATGCAGCTCAGGGAGGGAGAAGGTGCCTGGCATGTGGGTCTGGTTAAATAGAAGGAATAGGGGAGACAGAAAAGATGGATTCTCCTCAGACTCACACCCAGTGTCTGCAGGAACAGCTGGCTTTGCTGACCCTCTCTGATGCCACCATGGGGCAGCAGTTAGTGAAACCCTGTGGGTTTATTGAGGCATTAGGGATCCTGCAGAAACACCAAACCCAATTCCCTGTCCTGTCCTTGTGGCCTCCAGTCTACCCACAGGCTGTAGCAGACCACAAAACAAAGAGATCTGTACTTCCAGTGGAAACCCTCACTCAGGAGCTCACAGACTGGAATAAGTTAAAATCACAGTTTCATTCCTAAATGGTAGGAATAAATTGCTGCCCTTCTAGACAATTTTTTCTATTATCTACCCAAAATAAAGCATATAGATAAATAATGAGATCTTACAGAACCTATCAGACTAGCTATAATAAGCATTTGAGCAGGATGAAATACTGTCTTATTAGGAGAGCTGGAGGTGTGAAGTTTGCCACCAGCTCCAAAGGGCAGAGATGCTCATATGACAACTGTCTCTTAATATTCATTAGCAAACTGATGGCTAATATAAGAAAACCCTTCACATTATCACTAATCCATCAATGGTACTCGTGGGGCTCCTATCACCATAACACCCAAGCACCTCCAGCATCCCTCAGCAGATTATTATCCGTGGAGAACCCAAATAATTCTCACCTGAGCCTCTGAGCAAGTGATAGGGAGGTTTGAAGGAGGGGGGAAATCCTTCTTTTCCATGCTGGACAAAGAGTCTTGATGAGGTCTGAGGGCTTGGTGAGCTTCAATCCCGCAGAATGGGGTTGTTCCAGGGAAGGGTTATCTGTGCTCATGGTGCAACACCAACAGCCAGGCCATGTTGGGACAGAGAGGTCTGAGAAAACCTGCATTAAAATGAAATTAGGAGAATGTAACTCTTCAGATTTTTCCCAGTTGTCCTATTTGGTCTTGGGATGAGCTGGGGATGAGGATGTTTTGGTCTTGAGATGGCCACTGGTCACTGCCTCATGGAAACCCCAAAGAAGCCAAAGCAGAAGTGGAGGAGTGACGGCATCAACCCCGTGCGCCAGGAATGGGGCCAGAGGCTGAAACCTTGGCTGGGGTTTTGGGAGCTCTGGGCTCACCAGGTGGGGTTTGTCTAGGCTGGTAGAAACCCTGCTGGGTCCACAGTGATTTCTGCAGCAAACCAGAAAGGTCAGGACATGGAAAGTGGGATTCAGACAGGGCCAAGCCCTCCAAGCACACCACAAGCACATGTGACACTCCACCTTTTAATTTAAGAACTAGGAAATGCTGTTGTGCTGCAGCAGACATGAACCAAGCCCTCTAAAAAATAACTCCAACCTCTGCCTGACTCACAGAGTACATCTTTTCCCCAGCTTCATCCCTGGTACCCAAGGGAGCAGCATGGGGTCCCCAGGGGAGACCAGAGGAAAGCTTCCCTCTCTTGCCTTGCCCCAGGAGAGCTCAGTGAAACTTCCTTTTCTCTCTCCAACCCTTTGAACTATGCTCCTGAGTAGAGACAAAGGAAAAAAAGAGGGACAAATTAATTCCAGGCAGTTGAGTGTGTTCCCTGCTCTAGCTTAGTTTGGAGTAGGTACACATAATAATAACGTTTTAATAATAATTTAATTTATAATACGCCCCCCTGCCAAGGCACTCAAGGCACTACACAAACAATTAAAATATGATTATAATAAATAAACAGCAATAATTAAAACATCATAAACCAGACAATATTAGAGACAAGCCAAATGCTAAAAAGCAAAACAAAGCAGCATCTTTGGAGGAGGGGGATCCTTGCACAATTCATCTTCCAAATCTCCTGTTGATGTTAGATTGAAATTCTCCTGTGAAGCTGTTTCTGCATCTGCAAAGATTTTGGCAGTGTCACTGTCATTAAAAAAAATGAATTTTTATACTACCATAAATTAACTAGAGTTTTGCAAAGCTGTAATAACACAACATTCACTTTCATTTGAACAAATTCAGAACTCAGTTTGCTCAGGAAACTCAGTTTATGGTGCCGAACTTGTGTTGACTGCCCTGGGTTTGGGAAAAGCACACACTCGTACAGTTTGTGGTTCGTAAAACATGCCTCATTATAGAAGCCAGAACGTGTTAAAGATTTAAAACCAAACCCCAGAACTGAATGGCAGACCAGCCTCCTCCTGGCTGTCAGCTCCTCAGAGCCAATGGGATCAGCTCGTCCCAGTTTACACAACTGGAACCAAAAGACCTAAACTAACAAAAGAAGCAATCTCCCTCCAAAACAAATGAAATTCCAGCTCGTGCCAGGCGAGAGCCGTGCACTGAACTCTAATGATTAAAGGAGACAGGCTCTGTCGAGGCAGAGGTGGAACTGAAACACAGCCAGGCGGTCCCTCCTCTGAAAAAAGCTGGCACCAGCCCTGAGACAATTACATCCAGGATCCGTTCACTCCAGTGCCTCAGCTGATCTCAGTGCTTGTGGCAGCGCATGAAGGGAAAATCCTTCTCACAAACCCAAACCACACAGGGATTTCTCCATACTAGGGGAAAAAAAAACCCACACCAACCCAAACAAAACAAAACCAAATGCGTTAGGAAGATGAAGCTGGTGGGTTTTATCCTGCACAGAAAACCAGGAGGATGTTTTCCATCTCGTTCCTCTGAGGTTTTGCTCTCGTGTGTTTTACTTTGAGCTTCAGATCCAAGAATCTTAAAAATCAAGGGGATGGCAAATGGCACCACGTGGTTCTCTCACACAAAGCTGTCTTTGGGGCTGGGTTTGTTCAAAAAGAGCCTTCAAAAGGGCTCATGAGCCTTAGTGCATGATGCCACAACTCTGGAGGCAGGTAAGGGGCCTGCAGTGGAGAAACCATTACAGATTTTGGGCACAGACAGATTCCTTTCATTTGTTTCTGTAATCTCCTATCAGGACCCTCTAAAAAATGAAATTAACCATGAACTCCTAGTTCCCTGCATAGCCTCCTCCAGGAATGGCCCCAAAATTTGCTACAAGACTGTGCTGGAAAGGGACCTTTTCTTGTCTGCAGGAAAAAAGGTGCTTTCTAAGAGAGGCCCACATTACCAGGGTTAGGGTTGATTGTTTCTTTCCTCTGTTGAATGCAACCTCCTTCCCTTACAGGCCTCATTAAGGCTCTACTGCCTTTCATAGAAATTGTCCTTCCTGGGTGTTCGCCTTTTGAAAAGGAATTTTCAAGGGAGCCTCATCACAAGCTCATGTTCTGGCATCTCTCTGTATCTGGGCAGCAAGGACCATTCATCAATCAGTATTCCCACAGTTTTCCCAAATCCTTCACTGTTCATAGAAGTTATTCAGCAAAATTTCAAATTTCCACTGCATGGAGGTAACTGGAAATTCATGGCTCTTCATTCACCTTTTTCTCCAGTAGACAAACAGCATTTGGACTCCAATTCCACAAAAACAGTTTCTATTTTCTGTAGAGATGGAGTGCACTAAAACATAGAGAAGCTCATCCAAATTCTCTGCTCTTCCTCATGCTGGGCCACATTTCAGCTGAGAGATTCAGATTCTGGGATGAACCACAGAAAATTTGCATTCTGCTTTCTTCACCATTATCCTCCAAGTGTCCTGTGTGACCTTGAACAGGTGAATCAGACACAAACTGTCAAAAATGTCAGATTGGGATTCAAAGAGCCAAGCATCTCACACCTTGAAGGATGTGGATTAGAGGTCTGCGCCTCAGTTTCCCTATGTGCTTTCCTGCCTTCCAGGACAGATTTGACATCAATATATCAGTAGTTTTTCTATTCAACAGCGTCATTCACTCAGTTATCAGTATTTTTAATTCAGATTTGGTCAATCATGAGATGATGATTCTGCCCATGTCAGCATTTCACCATAGCAAAAGAACCTGACTAGAGGATCTCCCTGGATTGACACTCAGGGTCTTCTTTCCAGATCTCACTCAGGGCTCTGATTCATTTGGAAAGGCTCCCCAGATCCCCCAAGACTGGGGTAGCTCCAGCCCAGGGGTTTGAGAGTCACTGGAAACTGCTTCAGAAGAGCACTCGCTGACACTTGAGAGCAGAAATGAGAAGACAGAGGTGGCAGAATTTATTTTATGACAAATCCTAAAAGGAAATTATGCAAAGTAATAAAATAAAGAATTATAAATGAGGACAAGAAATGGGTGAAATATAGAATAAATTATGGGAAAGCAGGAAGGTATGGGGGAAGAATTGAAGGCAGAAGTGCTGAGTTAAAGAATAATTATTAGAAACAGAACTCAGAACTCAGCTTGTATAAATGTATAAACTGAAGGGAAGAGGGCATTTGGGTTGAGCATGGGTACCAAAGGAAGCTGCACATTTTTGTGCATTAGCAAAGCACCTCCCTGTTAGCTGTGCCTGGGGGATGCATGGGGTGACAGCACTATTCACTATTTGGGTGCAAACCCCTACATTTGGGGACAAGGTTGCTGCTGCTTTGACCTACAGTGAAAATAAGCCAAACCTCAGGAATAAAAGCAGTGGATGGTCGGTGCTCAGGTGTTTGCATCCTGCAGGAGGTGAGGGCTGGGCAGGACCATCCTTCTGAGCAGCCTCCCCAGCATCATCCCTGCTGTCAGTAGTGCCTTGTTCCCCTGTGAGCAGCCTCCCCAGCATCCTCCATCCTGGCAGCATCACCTTGTTCCCCTCTGAGCATCCTCCCCAGCCCCACAGCACCCACTGGGGATGGCTCTGGGGGGGATGCTCAGCACAAACCCCCCGGCAGAGCTCACCCAGTGACAGCAGCAGGGGCACAGGACCAGCCGGGCTGCCCCTGCGTTTGTCGGGGGAATCCTTTGGAGAGCTGCGAGCCCCAGGTGCGGGGAGGGGGCGAGGGAAGCCCCTGCCCCGGCCAGGGACTGTGCCTGGGTGCAGCCGATGGCAGGAGGAGCCGGTCCCAGCCCCACGGCCCCAGCTGTCACTCCGAGCGATGAATTACATGCTATAAGAAGGTGTTGACAGGAGCAGCTGGACATCAGGGAGTGATGAAAAGGGAACAAAATTCATTCCGAGTTCAGACAGACTGGCTCGTTAGGGACAGCAGAGGCGGCAGAGGCCACAGCAGCACTGCTCCATCTCCTGGACATCCACCGAACCGGCTCCTGAGGAACCCGGAGACCCCCGGAGCCCCCGCTCCCATCCCGTGTCACAGCCTGGGGACACCCGAGTGTGTCCCCTCTGTCCCCTCCTCGCCCAGCCCGGCCTGAGGTGTCCCCAAACACAGCACGGGATTCAATTTGGGTGTCTTCAAAAGGAAGCTAATAATCAAAGACTTTTTTGTGCCTCTCGTTTGAGGCTGTAATTTGTGTAAACTCTATGAAGAGGGATGGGGGAGGCGGGACGGGAACATTTGGCATCAAAACAATTATCTCCATTTTAATGCAAACTAAACGACGTGCTGAAGGGGAATTGTTTCGTACATATGTACAGCAAGTGAACATTAAACCACACGGCTAATGATTAACTGGCTCGGCACTACCCTTGCTGCGAAATGCAAGGGTGTCCCCTTACATTTAATGCGCGGAGAATTCTGAGGACACGGAGGTCCCGTATGAGATTATTCCTAAAGCTGTGAAAATAACAAAGAGATTTTTTTTTTCCCTAAGTCAAGCTACTTCTTGGCATTGAGAGAAGTTGGCAGAGAGAAAAAAGTGTCAGTGCTTCTCCCACCCCCTTTCCTCCCTCTCCCTCTCTTCCTCCTGCTCTCCTCCCTTTCCTGACTTCCACTTCTTTCTGCCGCTGGAGAAAAAGAATAGCAAATTCAGAGAAAATTTCATTGACGTTATTCAAAGAGTTTTTCATGGATTATTTACACAAGTGCTGTTCAAACAGCCTTTGTCTGAACATCCCTTGAAATCTGCACCCAATCCTTTCAGATTCAAAGCAATAGCTCAGGGGAGACAAAGGGGAGCGGCTGACATGGGTTTCCTCTGCGAGTGAATGAGAGGTCTGGCTAAACACAGAGGGCTTTGGGATCACAAGCTTCCTTTCAGCCTGGAAAATAAACACTGGTCTGAGGCCGGGCAGCTGTACCTCCGAGCAGCCTGCCCCATCCACTGCTATGGAAAGAATGGGGCACACACCTGGCTGCCCCTCTGGGCAATGCACCCCTGTCCTGTGCCCTGTGCTGTGCCCTGTGCTGCCCTGCTGCAGTGCCCAAGCCCTGGGGACCCTGTCTGCACGATGGGGACAGGGAGACGAGCGCCCTGAACCCCCCAAACCCAGCTGGGAAGCTCCCAGTGGCCTCCTGCCTGCCATCATGTCAGAGCTAAATGTGCTCCTGCAAAAGCCATGAGTATAAACAAATCTACTCTTAAACAGAGAAAAGAAAGAGGGATGGTGGAAGGGAAAAGAGGGTGAATGAAGGCAGGCAAAACCACTACAGAAATATTACAAGGTGCCACCCATGTTCAACACCCACTCACAGCCCTCTCTCCATCCCAAAGCTTCTGCACAGCACTCCCTTCCCCTCTGGCAGAGGAGCAGCACTCACCTCCCTCTGACCTGGGAAACCAGGCACCACAGGCTCATGAAATGCTTGAAATGCCCATAACAGGGTCAATTAAAATCAAGGGAGTAAGTGAAATATGTAAGAAGGGGCAAGTTCTGCCTTAAATTACCCCCACAGCCATGAGCAGCTGCGAGGCGGGGAAGGAGCACGGCCCTGGTCTTGCCACCCCTGCTCATCCTCTCTGCACAAAAACACAGCACTAGCTACCTCCTCTGCAGATCTTCACAACTTTTGGCAGTCACCTTTTTTAGATTAAAACACATAGTTTGAACAGTCCAAGTGCTCTCTGCACCCTTTGCTTGTTCTTGTTCTTATTCCCTGCATTCTTCCTCCCAGTTCCTGTTTGCCTGTTTCTGCTTTCCTAGCTCATCCACCAGCCCAGTACCAAACATCAAAAGAATCAACTTTTCTGCTGTGTTTTGCTTTCTTTGCTACATTGCTAAAGATTTGCTGGAAGATTTTTGGATTTCACTGGCAGGTGCTCATCTGCTGGAACTGGCTGCTGTCATCCTCCTACTGCCTGTCAAAATAAATCCTTTTCCTTCTCCACCTGTTTCTCCTTTCTTTCAGATATTCTCGTTCCTCCCTTCTGGCTTTCCCACCACCACCATAAACCAAATCTTTTCCTTCCCTGACTTATTCCCTTCCTTTCTCATCTGCATCTGTGTTGTGGATGTCTCACAGAAGATGTGAACAGAAACACACAACTCGAGTGCAAACTCTGAGAACAAAGTCCCGTCCCCAAATGCCCCAAAGGTCTCAGGCTCCATCTCAGCTCTACCACTGGAGGCAGCAGAAACTGGTGGAAAAAACCCTGTTTTGAGTAATGAACTTTGTTGGTTCGTGGAGTCCTGGTGCAGGCACACAGAGATGCTCTCCGAACCACCACCGTCAATAATAAAAATTACTACTACTACTATTACTACTACTATTACTATTATTACTATTATTACTATTATTACTATTATTACTATTATTACTATATTATTATTATTATTATTATTATTATTATTATTATTATTATTATTATTATTATTATTATTATTATTATTATTATTATTATTATTATTAACCTAGTCTGGATGTAGTTACCCATAAAAATGCTGAACCTCCTTTTGAACTCTGTTCAGCTTTCAGCATCACACCCTCGCAGGGCAGTGATTTTCAGCCTACCTGGGTGCTCATGAAGGTGTGATCATATTTTTCAGCATCTCTGAACTGATCTGGCTTTCCAGTTTCATTCATCACCAGGACATGGAGGAAGAGCTCCCTGCATGGTTATTTTATCCTTTTGAGTCCCACACAATCCTTGAGTCTTGTTGAATTACCACTTTTAACTTTCCCAGAGTTATGCTGCTTGTGAGTCACCTTTAGTGCTGAAAAAGTAGCCTCTCCTGGCAAGAAGATTAAAATCCTATTACTTGTTATTCATGTGTTATTTAATGATATTTTTTCCATTATGTATTTATTTATTTTTAAGTTACTTGCTTTGAATCTCGAGTTGGTGTTTTTAATATTAAGTCTACTTTCCAGTTTGTTTTTCTAATTGGAATAAAATAAACATGGAATGGAATTTTCTAGTGGTTATTTTTATATTTATCAAAGGAATGACAAAAACAAACCTCAACAACTGATGACCAAACCCAAAAGCCAGTAATGCAGATGCACAAGATAAGAGCAACAAGGCAATAAAAAGCCCTAAAACTCCAATGTGTCCCTCCAAGAGGCCCATTGCTTCTCTGGTAATGATTTGGCATCCAGGTGGTGCTCATATAAACTCTGGCTTGAGGGAAATCTCCTCTCCACCCACAGGTATCTCTCCATCCATGGAGAAGGTGGGATGAATGCCTGTTCAATCAGTTTTTGAGGATGACAAACTCCATTTTGGGAGAGGAAATATCTTTTTGATGACTGGATGGCTGTGAAGACGAAATGCCACAATCTCATCCAAGAGAGAGCTCACATAGTTGAGGAGATTCCTCTAAAAAAATCTTTGCAGGGCCTGGAAGGAAACCTGAGAGAAATGGGTTTTGTTGGTGAGATGAGGAGCCAAATGGAATATGGATGAAAGGGAAATAAAGATGGAAGGAGAAGAGAGGAAATAAGGAGAAGGAAAATCAGTCACTGAGATGGGTACCCATAAAGGTGGATCCAAGCAGAGCCAGGGAAGTGGAAGGGGGTCAAATGGGAGATCAGAAAGGAAACAGCTGCAGAAAAGAGAAGATGTGGCCAGGAAAGGAAGGAAGGAAGAGAATGACAAGGAGGGACCAGCAGGAGAGATGAACAGGGTGGAAGAGGCTTGGAGAGACAAAGGAAACAAGAATAGGAGAGAGGGGAGGAACCAAACTGTCCCCAGAATGAGGTGCAGCACCCCTCCTGCATCTCTTGGATGCTTTTAATGGGCGCCTGGAAGAATCTTCATTTATCAGGAATTCAATTAAGTGGAATGGTCGTTATTAATTTTATAGGAATTATTTGTACAGGAAAGCCTGGAGCGAGGCAAAGCCTCCCGGAGCCATTTCTCCTGTCAACACCCTGGGTCAGGTAGGCACTGGCAGCACAGACTCACCAGTTGAGATATTAATGAGATGCCTCTAGGTGCAAATGATAGTTTAATAGGTGTTAGTTACCAGGATTGCCCCTCGCCTGCACACGCCAGCACGCACAGCTCCTGACGAGCCTGCCTCCTTGTTAGAATAAGTAATTAGGATGTAGGAACACTCACTTTGACACTTTAATAAAGTGTCAGCCGTCATCAATTTAGTATTTAATAAAAATAAAATTAAATATTTACTGCATTTTTTAAAATAACGTTGTATTTAAAATATGTATTCCTCAAATTTGGAGGTTTTGAAATGAGGTCCTGCTAGGATGCTGGTCCTAAAAATAAGGTCCATGATTTCCTCTTGGGTTTTGCTTGCCATGTGGAGGAGGGACATTTTTATGGACAAGAAAATCCAGCAGCACTTGCAGAGAAGTGTTCTTATATGGGAGAAGAGAATGATGGAGATTCCTCCTCCATCTTCTGAACCTCCCTGTGCTGCCTGGAGATTAAGGATGAACAGAGCAGGCCCAGCCCAGACTGCCACTGCTGATGGCAGGCACTCACTGCCAAGGAGGCAGGGAAAACACAACTTTGTTCCTATTTCATTGGTACAACAGTCCTCCAAACCAGGTGTTGGAAAGAAAACAGAAGAAAATGCTGAAAATGAAGGCATGCTTTAAGCCTATTTCAGCCCAGGCATCAAATGGATTTTCTAGAGGAAAGTGAGTGGGTGTCTCTTACCTCTGGGTTGGTTTAGTTGCATTCCCATTTTCTGGAGCCTCAGCTGTCACACCTGGATCCTCAACCATTCTACAATTCCAGGCCCTTCATGACACCTGAATGAGGGTGACACACTTGGGCAGTGATTCGCTTGCTTTCTCCTCCTCTGATCCTAATGATGACCCAAATTAAAAACCATCTCTGTTAGGGACTCAGCAAACCCTTTGCCACCAGCAATATCTGTCCCCCAGCAGGAGATGAGGCCACTCTGCTGCCCCAAACACCAACAGTGACATTCACTGAGAAGTTTGTCTGGTAGAAGTGAAGCCATCAGGGAGCAGCTTGGGGCTGAATCTCATTTTGTGCTCCACCAAAGGCTTCCTGGGAAGCCTCAAATAGGAACACCCAGACCCTCTAAGAAAACTGTAGCTGCAAACAAGTCCTGACTGGAAGCCCTCACTCCCCACGAGCAAAATGAGACCCACAACACCCCCATCCTGTTGGAGCCAGCCAAAACGTGACTCCTTGCAGAGCCTACAAGGTGTTGCTCAGATGCAGAAGCAAAGGGAGCTCTGAAGACCCCAGGTGTGGTGGCAGAGCAGGGCAGGAGGTCTGAGGGTCCCACCAGCCTGGGCAGGTGATGGGGATGCTCAGCCCTGGCCCCACCAGGGAGAGGTGTTACCTTGGAGAGGAACTCCATGGCCAAACAGCTCAGCAGCTGCCCAGAGTCATTCACAAACCAACACCACATCACTTGTCGCCGAGGAAAGCACCCGGCTCTGAATGGGTGATGCTGGCAGCCTCGCATCAATGTTTTCACAGGCAAATTCGTGCACTGACCTCCTCGCGAAACACGCAGCAAATGCCTGGAGTCTGGTTTACATCTGCCGTGGGATCCTGTTACATTCAGAACAACCCCTGTCAACGCTGAATCTGTAACAATCAATAAAGAGAGAGAGTTTGTTTGTTCGTGTTTTGTTGGTTTGGGTTTTTTATGTTTTCTCGTTCCTAATTGTGTTATTTTGCTACTCCAAGTTTTGCAAGTTTTGCAATTGGCTCCCTCCTCCCCTTCTTGTTTTCTTTTAGGACAAGCTGTCATCTTTTCACATCTTTTCACCAGGCCACTGCAAATGTAAAACTGTAAATTGCAGGACTGTGCAAATAGCACTAATAGCATTTGCATAAAAATTGGTTGCAAAGAGCAATTAGCACTTCATTAATAATCAATGAAGGGCCAATTTACACATTGCCCAAAAGCAAATTGTAAATTCAATTTTGTCTATAACTGAGCATTTGGTGCTGGGCTACTGTACAATGGTGCCAGGAGAGACCAGCACAGCACATTTAGAGTCAAATCTGTGAGCTCAGGTTTCCAGTGATCCCCACCATGGCTATTTCAGAGGCCAAGCCAGCACCCCCTTCCCAATGGAAGGGAACTCCATGAGGTTCAGAGGAAACACACAAATGTCTCCATGCTGCCAGTCCTGCTCAGATACATCCCTAGTGCCAGGACACATGGGTACTGCTTGTATGGAAGCCTTGTCCTGCCCAAACAGACCTTGCAGGGATGCTGAGGGAAAGGAGAGGTGCACAAAGAACAGCAGAGAGGTGTCATCTCCTCTGTGCTGAGACCTGATCATCCTCCCACTGCAGTATCTGCTACTGCTCTACGACTGACAGCAGAACTCCTTTTCTCTAGGTCTGACATAATCCTTGAGGGTGAAGGGTTCCTACAAAGCCAATCCATCCACTGTTCCCTTTGTGGCCTTTCTGGGACACCCCAGATTTGTGTGTCAGAAAGACCAAACAGCCCCTGCTTTGTCACTTTGATTTCAGTGTCACAGAAGGGCTCCTGGTCCTGATTTGGCCATGAGGTGATGCATCCCCCAGCCCCTTCCTTGTCATGAATGGTGGCATCCAATAAACCAAGGCAGCTTAACCACAGCAACAACTTTCCCAGCCCCAAATTCTTTGCTATCTCATCCTCCACTTAAAAGGCACAGCCAGCTCCATTTCGTGAGCAGAGCCTGACTCTAAACCACTTGACATCTGAAGTTTTCTTATCACATTTAGCATGGATCTCATGAATCTGGTAAAAAGCTAGACGATCATTTAGCAGGGGTTGGTCGCTTTATCTATTTTCCATAATAATTTGAATATTATTACAATGGCACCTTTCATCTGGGGATATACATGCACTTTACATATGTTACATTAATTTCACCGATGAGCTGGGGAAGCACTCCTTATCCCTATTGTGCACATGAGGAAATGGAAGCACAGAGATGATATACTGCTTGCCCAGTATCACACAGGAAGTTTCTGACAGAGCCAGGAATAGAAATCGCATCTCCCATGTCTTATGCAGAAGAATATCTTAAAGTCCCTGCCCAGTAACTGAGCCCTTAATCCAGGCTAAGACACCCACACAGGACCCACTTTGCTGAGAGCAGCACAGACACCCAGAAATGGCAGTGCCTTGCTCTGGGAGAGACTTGACTGATCCAAAATTTCCCCCACCACGAAGGCTGGAAGTGCCCTTTGCAAGGAGCAGCTCTGGGGGCTCAAAGGGAGAGAGGCTGCCTCTGAGAGTGGTTTCCATCTGAAGTGGATGTTATTAGTTGGTGTAAGCAGATGCTCGATGTGGGATGCTCAGGACTTCTCAGTTTTCACCCAGCAACGTCCCTGCTCCCTTTTTCCTGCCTGTTCAATCCACCTTTACCAAGAAATTGAATTTACAATGGACTTGAACACATTTAAATCCATTTATTGCAAAATTACTTTTCAATAATTACATCATTGTGCTGACTGTGTTGCATAATGAAATTAGCATGAGAGATATTAGAAAGAATATAAAATTATAAGACATATTGAAATACCTCTTTCCCCGTCTGCCTTTGCACAACCCATAGCTTAACTGGAAAACGAGCACTGCTCCTGGATGGGATTTAAATGCATCAAGTGTAATTTTATAAAGTTTTTTATATAAATTAATTATAATGGTTATTGCTGCTTTACATTATTAGACTGAAATTTGCCTCCACTTCAGTGCATTAAAAGAAAGCTGGATCCATTTTGCTTTTCAATACCCTGAATTTTCTCATGGCATTGAATCATCCTGCCCACCCTGACACCATCAGCACCTCTGAGATTAAAAGCTTTGGGCTCGTGTGGGACTGGCACTGCCCACCCTGGGTCCCAAACGCACAACCAGAGCCCTGGGAGCAGGCACTGGGGTTCTCACAGAGATCTTTGCCTGGAATGGGACATTGCACCCCTTTGAATCCTGATTTTTCTGCTCCATCTCTGAGCAATAATAGGGATGGCTCAGGCTGGTTTTAGCAATCCCACCTCAACTGTGCATCTGAAAATAATTGGAGGCAATAAATCCATTGCCAAACCCATGCCATGGCACAGGTGAAGTGTCTCAGGGCAAGCACAGCCCATTTAGCTGACCATGGGCTGTTGGGTGTGTGTCGGAGCATCTCCAGAAGAGCTGGGGCCATCCTCAGGAAAAGCTCCTTTGAAAAAAGAGTTTGGACTCTTTAGACAGAGAGTTTGGGTAGTGATTCCTTTGCCATAGCTCCACATTCACATGTTGTTTTCCTCATCTAATTCTGGGCCATGCCTGCCAAACCAGCCCAGGAGAGGAGGCAGTGAGCTATGGGGTGGTTAACAAACCACTGGCCACGCTGGACAAACCACGGCCATGCAAAGCACAATGAAGACACAGTGATATGCTTTTACTGCCTCTTAATCCTCAATAGAAGTCTACTAATATTCAATTTGTGACATTATTTGCACATTGAATTAATCCAGAAACTAAAGGGCTAATGAGTTATGGAAAGTAGCACATGGTTTAATTGCAACAACAAGGGCCTGCCGGCCTCCCTCCAGTCAGGAATGCCTGGGTAAAAATAAAATTCTGCATGCACTGGTACACACCAGATGGGCAGGGAACAGCAAACTAAACAATGTGAACTAGCTGAATGACTATTCTTTTAAGAGCCCTAAGTTTTCCTTTTGTTTTCAGGCATGCTCCTCATGAAACAACAGTCATTAAGCATAACGCAAAAAAGTCCGGATGACCAAAGGAAATGAAACTGACCATGAAACTAATCATAGGATCATTTGGGTTGGAAAACAAGCACAGAGTTCAGCTGTTAACCCAGCAATTCCAGCTCCATGACTAAACCAAAACCCTGAGTGTCACAGTTTCCTTACAGAAAAACACAAGGTCTTTAAGGGATATGTTCAAAACAAGAGAAGTCAGTTGAAGAACATATAGAATGAGAAGGGCAGCAGATCTTTCCAGCACATGATGCCACCAGCCCTTGGCAAAAGCTGCTGCTTTATTCAGTGTGCTCAACCCTCTGCACAAGCCTTACCCTGCAGCAGGACCACAGCCTTGGTCCACACCCAGATGAGTAAGAATTAGGACTCAAAAGTCAAACTGCAAAGCAGAAACAATCATAAAACTTTCCCTCTCCTCAAGCCCTCTTTTCAACCTGCTCTGCAGGAAAGGTCTCCCCACTGTTTCACACCTTTCTGGAACACCTGAATTTCTCAGAATGGGCCCAGCTTCCAGCCAGCAACACAGCACAGTCACAGTCTATGATACATCAGATTTCGGGTCAAATAATCAGAAGGAGGAGACTGCAATCAGCAATGGAGCTGATGGGAAGCATGAGGAGGAAAAAGAACAGGCTCACTGCCTGGTTGGTCACCATTTCAGATGATTTAAAGCTCTTCCCAAAGCTTTTTACTGTGAAGAAAAGCCAGGAAAAGCATCTTCTGCATGGTATGTAGAAACTGTCTCTTCCTCAAATCCTCGTGTGGCAGAAACTCAAACGTTTCTGTTATGCTCATGGTATGGAAAGTTGGCTTTCTCTAAGGTCTCCTCCAAATCTGGTCTAACAAACACATAAAACAGCAAACCCAGACAAAATGCCTGAGCTTTGTTAATGGTCAACCCAAGCCAGTAGTTCCTGCATTTGTTCCCATCCTTTCCATCCTGCTGCTGCTTTCCCCAGCTGCTGGAACAAAAGCAAGATGGAGCTGCCAGCAAAGAGGGCTGGAGACCCTCATCTCAGATAGAGCCAGGAGCTCAGGAGTTTGCACCATTTAATAGAAAAAGTGAATAAATCTAAACAGCACTTAATTTATTGATGAAGTAAGAAAGACTGTTTAATGTGGAAAACATAAGCAAGATCAATAGCAGGGAGCACAAATAACTGAGGCTATTGACACTTAAGTATTTTAAGCCTAATTGCAGGCATATGCACTTTCTAAGGGTATCTCACCTTCTAATAGCACCCTTGAGATTATGGGGTTAATTGATGCAGCTGTTTATTCCTGGCTCACGTGGTCCAGATTGGGATTCCCTGGAGGATGCTATTAAACTAAAGTGTTTAATGAAGTGCTAAAGAGTGGAGTTTCTAATATTCTCTTCCCTTGAATGAAATTGAATAGGAATTGGAACCAACTTCTCCTCCCCAGGTGGGAACTGCAGCTCAGCATTGGAGTAAATCACCCTGTGCTCCTCACAGGGAGCTTTGTGGTGCAGGGGAGGAAGACCAGACCTGCTCAGGTCCAATTTTAGACCAACAATGTGGGGATACTTGTGGGTCTTTTTCCTCCCTAGTGACAGATGGAAGAGACCTAAAGACATGCTCCATTTTAGCCCTGCTGTTGGACAAGGAGTCTGAGGAAGCCAATGCCACTCCTGTGGCTTTTCAGTGTGATCCTGGGCTTCTCTCTTTTGGGATGGAACCAAATTCCAAAGGATTTGGTGTCCATTTGGGAAGGAGAACAGATAACAGCACCCATGATGACACTGGCCTGGATATTTCAGTTCAATGGCAGCAGGACAAAGCAAGACTGCCAGAAAAGAGGCTCTTTAACCAGTCTCTATTTGTAACTTGCCCCAGGCTGGTTTGGTACCTTTGAGGACCAGGTCTATGCCTGCATACCGTGTGTTTCCCAGGCGGACATCCCTGGTCAAAGGGCTCGGCCTCCCTGTGCCCATCCCACAGTGCACAGTACAGGGCTCAGCTGCCTCTGTCCCTGTAATGGGAATGTCTTGGCTCTTCACCTCCATCCACCACCAGCAGCTCCTCCCAGGTGAGCCCTGCAAAGCAAAGCAGGTAATGAAGGAGATTTCACCGCTGCAACCCTTTCCCATCACCCAGACCCTGCCTGGAGGGGCCTTGAGGCCTCCTCTGCCAGGGCCCACCCTCAGCTCCCCCTGAGCAAGGCTGGTAATTGCTGTGAGGCAGAAATTGCCTTCTCCATTTGGCTTTTCCAGCCTGAAGGGGCACACAGACATTGGGCCTGATAAGGACAGGGAGTGAGGGGCAGGGGGCTGCTCTGCCTGGCTCAGCCCATTGACCTCAGAGCCTTGGAGCTCCTCCCAAGGAATCAGGTGCTATGCACAGACCCTTTAAAATCATCCTCTCCCTTCACAGCAGCCTTTCTACTGCAACTCGAGATTTCCTTCTCTTTTAAAATCAATTAGTTTGAAGCAGTTTTACAAAAGCCTTTCTGCAGCACAGCTATTCCCAGTGAAAATGCTCCTTCTATTGCCTCCATCCACATTTCACCTCCCTTGGGAGGGCCACAGAGATGGTGAGAAGCAAACATCATGTTTGTAGCCCAGATAATGTTACCAACTCCACTGAAAATGCTTCCAGGAACAAGCATGCTGACTGGAGTGTGCAGAATGTGGCTGCGAGTGTGGTGGGTTAGCTGGGCTGGTGTTCTCAATGTGTTTGCCCACAGATTCCAGAGGGAACCATCAGGAGTTGTGGGAGGTAACCAAGGAAAGCTGGTTTGCTGTCAGTCAGCACAGATTCTGAGTGTTTGGAGAGGTCTGCACATGCATTGTGAAAAGCTGGGGGTTCTGTGGACCCAAAAAACCTGAAATCATGGGTGAAGTGGGTTTGGGGCTGTTTCTATCCCATGAAGGAATGTGTCAGAAGGAATGTGGAACAGAAAGAGGCTATGAATTCTGGGTTGGATGGGGGTAATCTGCAGGAGAAAACCATAATCCACCTCAGAACAAATCTGAGTCTGCTTCCTCCTCCCCTTATGTCCAGGACCTCGTGGTTTTGAGACAATGTGCCTGGAGCTGGAGAAAGGGAGAATTTCCTAAGGCAGCATGCTAAGGCCATAGCCACACCAGCAGCTCCTGGGAAAGTCTCCATGTGACTTCCTCCCAATCCAGCAAGCCACAACTGCCCTTCCAAACCCACAGGACATTTCTCTTCTGCGACACCCACTGTGAGGGCAGGCTTAAGCTAAGCTAGTTTATTTCACAAATGCTGCCAGGCCAGCATATCACCAAACAGTGAGGCTTTGCTATGTGCAAACTCATTAAACCACTGTAATTTAATTGCTTGCAATTGTCCATCCATCCTCTGAACCCTGCCCTCCCTGCAGCACAGGGCACAGAGGATCTCCCATCCCTGCAGCCTCCCCTGCCCTTGGCAGAGCAGGACTTGTGGTGGCAGAAGGGACAACACACAGTCCCCAGCATTGGGAGAGCAAAGTCATTTGTGGTGCAGAAGAGAAATGAAAACAGCCAAAAGGCTGCAACAGAAAACCAGGCAGAGAGGAAAATTAACTAAGAAATATGCAGTCTTGATGTCGATTCACTAAAGAATATTTATTGTCCTCTCACACATCTTGCTTGCTCTCCTAACAAATATAATATTTTTGAAAGAAAGTCTCTCTTTACCACTGCTGTCTCTCTCGTGCCCTTTCTCTGTCTCACCAGCTCTGTCTCTGTCTCTCTGATACCAACTCTGACAAACCGTGCGATTCTGATGGAAAATTCATTAGTCGTCCCTTTTTTTTTTTCTTCCCCATTTTCCCAGTCAGCTTCGCGCCTGATCTGTCAGCCTCTTCCATCCTGATTATCTGGAGACGCCAATTTCAAAGAGACATCTTAATAGTGATGTCAACGAATTAATTAGATGTGTTAATGAGCTAAAAGCAACCCAAATTAAATTAATGCAGTAATAAGCACAGACAGCAAAATTAGCTCCAATTTCTGTAAATGATTCTGAACTGTACACAACATCTCATCCTGCTAGAACATTACCATCCCCCAAAGCTAATCAAGAACTCCAGTGCAATTAACTGCTTAATTACAAAACACACACACAGCTCATAGATCCAGCAGCAGGAGGGGTGCGCTGGGCTGGGAGCGAGCGGGGGAAATTCTCTGCAACAAACCCTGCACGTCAGCCCTTCCACAGAGGCTCTGCCCCCACCAAAAACACCCCCCAGGCCCCTCAGAGAGGGGGATCAGACAGAGGGCACACACAGGGTCAGGAAGGTGGCCAGGTGTGCTCCTCAGGAGCATCCCCTGTGCTGGATGCCACCATGGGAGCCCCAGTGTGGCCAGGGATGTTCTCCGGGCCAGGGGCAGAGTTGTGCCCACAGCCCCACCTTGGTTATTGTGTTTATCAGGCTGGGGGCTGCGTGGAAAAGCCTAATTGTCCAGCTCTGCTCAGCTCCCCCTGGGATGAGAGAGGAGCCACTAATAGCTTTGCAGAGCTGCTCAGGTATCTGATTAGCTCTAATTGCAGCTGGAAGACAGAGGGAAGGAGTAGGATAGTGCTGTGGACAGAGGGAAGGGGAAGAGGATGGTGGAAATGGGGAGGAAGGAAGGGCTGGGGGGGAATGGATGGAAATCCCTGGAGGCACACAGGAAGGAGAGAGAATGGAGAGGCCAACAGAGGAATTATGGATGCAGACAACAAAAAGAAGGACAAACCAGACAAACAAAGAACTGAAGGCAGAAACAAAGGGAAGGAAGGCAAGACAAAGAGGGCTGCATGCTGCCAGGCCCTGTGGAGCAGCCAGGGCAGGAGACTTGGTGGATACAAGAGTGGGTCTTGGACAGGCCCCATCCTGGCCCTGCAGAGCTGGGATGTGCTGGAGATACAGCTGCCTCATCATAGGACGACACAACCAATTTGGAGGTTGTGGAATCATTAGTCCACCCCGCAAATGAGGAATATCTACAATCAAGATGAGGGCTGAGATTCACTGTGACAAACATCTCTGTGTTTCCTCCCCCCCCCTTTTTTTTCCCTCCACCTTTTATTGCAATTAGTTCAGTCTGTTAATAAGCAAAGGATATTTTTACTTAATTTCAGTTCCAGTTAATTGATTCAAAAGCGAAACCCAGCAACTGAGTTAATTGATCCATGTGTCTTGTGCTGCAGCGGCGAGGAGCTCTCCGGGCAGCTGCCACGGCTGGGGCTCAGAGCAGCACGGCAAGGATGGCAAGGATGGCAGAGATGGCAGGGATGGCAGGCACGGAAGCAGCAGAGCCCCTGCCCTGAGCGTGGGGGCCAAGCACCACCCCAGCAGCTGTGCCACTCACCCCTTGGTGCAGAAGGAGCTGCAGGAGGGTGGCCTGTGCACGCCTGCCATGGGAGTGTGCCAGCCCCGTGTGTGTGCTGCAGCACAAGTGCTGGTGCCAGGGAGCTCAGTGAGCAGGATGCCCTGGCTGGCTCCATCCACAGGGATGTCCAGCCTGGCACATTGTCTCTGATGGGCACAGCAGGAGATGGTGTTTTGGAAAATGTGCTGCCCCTGCTGCTTTCCACTTCCATTGTGCTCCCTGATATTGTATTTGCAGGGAGACCCCGACGAAGGAAGGAATGATGAGGAGGACTGCAGCTTATCAAAAGGCTAATTAATTACTTTATTATGCTATAATATTCTATACTATATTGTATATTACTTTTTATATAATACTATATTATTATACTATATTACATATTTATATATATATGTAACATATTATATATCATTTTATATATACTTACATATAATATTATAGTATATCTATAGTATATATATAATACTATAGTATAACTATAGTATATATAATTTTATATATACTTTATATATAATACTATATTAATATTTAAATATGTATGTAAATACTATATACATATTTAAATATGTAATATAGTATATATAAATATGTAATATAATATATATAATTTATATATACTTATATATAATACCATAGTATATATATAGTATATATAATTTTATATATACTTTATATATAATACTATATTAATATACTATATTACAGATTACTTTATATATAATACTGTATTACTATTATTTTATTATACTATATTATTCTATACTATATTACATTACATCTAAACTGAATCTGCCAAGCACTCAACCCTGCACACACTGCACAGATTATCGTGACTGACACCTTACAATCCCAACACACACACACACACTTGGTCCTGACAGGCCAAGGAAACAAAACACTGTCACTTTGGGTAAACAATCTCCATGTTGCATTCTACTACAGGCACAGCAAATTATAAGAATTGTTTTTCCTTTCTCTGAGGTTCAGAGAATGTGAAACCCAGAAATATTCTTGGGGAGAAGTGTGCCTTGCTTTTCTCTGTGCAGAGAAATGTGGTGACACCCTGAGCTGCTTTGGCAGAGATGCTGGAGGGTGCATGCTTGGCCAGGGATTTTAGCTGCTACTTATAAAGCTGTTTCCATGAGTTTGTCTAATCCCCTTTTCCTCCTGTGGCAGTAAGTTCCCAAAGTTCACTACCTGCCGTGTCCAGAAGAGCTCTTTTATCTATCTCAAACCTAATCTCTCACTGTTTTCAATTGAGTGCCTCTTGTTCTTGTATTTACAGGATTTGGTGAAGAACCATTCTGTGTCCAGATTATCCACTGCCTTCAGGATTTCCTAAATCTAAGCCAAATCTCCCTTCAGCCTTTTCCACCTCTGCCTGGCAGTCAGCACCATCCCTTACCTGCCTTGTGTCTTGTCACAAGGGCCTGGTCCATCTTTTCTCTGCAAAACTGGATCTCCATCCCCATGAGTTCAACACAAGAGTCTCCTGTCCCTGTGCTGCTGCTGTTCAGGGTGCTCACAACCATGAGCAGCCAACACTAAGCACCATTTTCAATCACAGAATCAAAGAATAATTTGGGTGAGAAAGACCTTTAAGATCACCAAGCCCAACCATTAATTTAGCACTGCCAAGGTCACCACTAAACCATGTCCCCAAGTGCCACATCTACAGGTTTTCAATACCTCCAGGGATGGTGACTCCAACACTGCTCCAGACAGCCTTGTTCCAGTGCTTGACAACTCTTTGGTGATGAATTTTTTCATAACATCCAATCTAAACCTCCCCTGGTTCAACTTGAAGCCTTTTTCTTTCATCCTGTTGCTTGTTACTTGGGAGAAGAGACCAAACCCCCTCCTGGCTACAGCCTCCTCTCAGTGAGTTGTAGGGAGTGAGAAGGTTCCCCCTCATCCTCCTTTTCTCCAGGCTGAGCTACAGCTCCCTCAGCCACTCCTGATCAGGGTTGTGCTCCAGACCCTTCCCAATCTCTGTTATCCTTTTCTGGACTTGATTCAGCCCCTCAATGTCTTTTTTGGGTTGGTGGGCCCTGAACTGAACCCAGGATTTGAGGGGCAGCCTCGCCAGTGCCCAGCACAGGGAGATGATCACCATCCTCATTCTGCTGGCCACATTATTGCTGATACAAGCCAGATGTCATTGGCCTTTTTGGCCACCTGGGCACATCTGGTTGGGGTTCGGGCAATGTTCACCATCATCCCCAGGCCCTTTTCCACTGGGCAGCTTTCCAGCCACTCTGCCCCAATTCAGTATTGCACAGTCAGTCCTGCTGCTGCTTTTGGGATTTTTGGTTTCATGGCTGCAGGCAGAGCCAGCCTCCACCCTGACCCCACAGTCCTGCACAGCCAGGATCTTGCAGTTGAGGTTTGAACAGGCTGAGCAGGCTGTTGGTCACACCTGAATTTATCAGCTGGGTTAGAATCCAGTGCCAATCCAGTTCACAGCTCTGCAAGTTGTTTCCTTTAGCAACAGCTCCCCTTCCTGAAATACCTGTTGATACAGGTCTCCTGAGCTTCCTACAGGCTGCTGCTGTTCCTCTTGCCTATTCCTCCTGATAGCTCCTCAAGTCAATTCTCAACCACCTAATCATTTCCAAGGGAAAGACAAAGCTCCTGGGGCAGATAAACCAGAACTGTCAAACACTTGAAGAGCACAAGCCATAAATTGCATCTCTCAGTAATGGGCACAGTGCAAACAAGAACACCCAGGCTACAAAACCAGGTTTGAAACAAGACATAAATTGTGCCAGAGATAAACAAAAAGCCTTTGGGCTTCCTCTGCACCATCCTGGGAACCTGGCATGATCAGGCCATATTCAGCAGGCAGCTCAGCATCTCCTTGAGGTATGTAATGGCCATCTCATGCACAGATGCTCCACATCTACTCATTTTTAGTAAACAAAACTTTCCTGGCAGCTTCATGGCTTCAGAAAAGAGTCAAAATGCAAAACAACCCATCTCAAAGGCTACAGCAGAGGTTTTCTAAACTTGGCTTGCTTGAGGCACAGAGAGACACGGTGAGTGCATGGTACAAACCCACAGCAGAGTGTGCTTGAGGCTGCTCTGCTCCTGAGCTGTGCAGGGGCCCCTCCAGCTCACTCCACTCCTGCTCTGTGGCACTGGGAGACCCTGAACTGGGACACCATGAAACAGGGACCCTCTGTTCTCCTCATGTCTCTGCCTTCACATCCATCTCCCCTCCAATGCAATGGTGGGATGAGCCATCCACGCCATGCTTGGGCACAGCCGTGAGTTCAGATCTCTGAGAAAAACTAAAAAGTTGTTGTGTTCCCTGCTGATGAGTAGGAATGAATTTGGAATAAAAATCTGCATCGTTGAGCATACTGACTATTTTGTGCCTTTTTTCTTACTCTTATGTAGGAGTTACATTTTTAAGACAAATAATGCATTTTCAAAGGGACATTAAGGATGTCATTGCAGCTTCTGAGGGCTGCATGCCATGGCATTGAGGACTAGAGGTAGAGAGACAGACAAATTCCTTGGTCTCTGCATCTGCAGTGTAGCTAAGGACTTTTCTAATGAAAGAGGGTCATAAAAAATAAGATTTTTCACAAAGTGCATGCTTAAACATTCTGCAGTAGGGCCTAATAGCAAGCGCTCTGTGCTGGGAGCTCAGTGTGGTGCAGTTTCCCCTCTTCCCAATTTTTAAAATAGGATATTGCAATGCACTATCCATGAGGAAAAATCAATAGATGAAAGGCTGGGCAAGGAGCTGAGGCTTTTTTTTTTTTTGAGTGTGATTGGCTGTGAGAGCCCCCAGCATCTCTGAGGAATGAGGTGCAGGTCCCAGCCTTTCAGCCAGAATTTGAAATAAGGGCAATCCTTCCCTTGTCAGAACCAGCAGGGACAGTTTGCTTTTAGTGCTCATTGGGAAAAGTTGAAGGGAAAGGGAGCTCTTAAATAATGCTGCAAATTACCCTCACTTTAAAATGCTAGTCCTTGATTTGTCAGCCTATTTTTGAATAATTTACAGTGGATTTGGCAGGTTGCTGTGATATACAGTGTAATATGCATGTGGAACTCTTTCAAAGCAGAAGTTAATACTTTCCAGGAGAAAAAGGAAATAATTGTGTCAAAACAAGCCCTAACCACTGAGGTTTACCTGTTTCCTAATACACAGGAGTTTGCAAACATGACTGCCATTAAAGCAAACGAGACACACACATATGAGTCTGTCTGCCTTGAGAAGAAAATATTCTTCACAAGTGCCTTTCTTGGTGTTGGATGATCAATCCACCATCTGCCTTTATTTATTCATGATTTCTCAGACTACTACAACAATATTGACATTAAATACAGCTTTGGCTTATTAATTTTTTTCATTCATATGTATTTTAAGTCAATTTTATTGACTTCCCCTTGGCTTGCTCTTTTAGCTGTTTGCTTGTTTTTCCTGGCCTGCTACTTTGTGCCTACCCTTACATCCATTTCCAATATTTTCTTTCCAGCTCCTTCCTTCTCTTCCAGGTAGCCACCAGAGAGTAATTTTCTGTTCCAGGTGCTGTGGATGAGCTGAATTCAGACCTGTTGACCAGACTGAATATTTCCCCAGCTTTGGGGCAGATTTGGGGGCAGATTTGGGGCAGTCCTGCTTATCCCAGGATCACTGAGCCTCCAGCAAGGATCTCTCAGACCCTGTAGCTGTTCCAAAGTGATGGCAGCAGGACACCCACATCCCAAACAAACTATCATTCTCCCCCACACTGGGCATATGCAGATATGTCATTATTCTCAGCAGTATTTGTGAAACTCAGGACAGGCAGTTGTTAATTATATTTGTCCCCTTTCCTTCTCATTGCCCCAGGATCCAAGGCCTGGCTAGGGCTGCACATTTGGTAGCCAACCCTGATTTTGACCTGTCCCTTCTCTTCCTCATCTTCACCCCTTCACTGCTTCATCCCAGTTTCAAGCGACAACTAAGTCACAAAAGGCTCCCAGCCAAGGACCAAGTCTCCTGTCAGTGATTTCAAGAAAGACTTTTTCTGCAATAATTTTCAAGTTTTGGATCTTGCTCTTAATATGTTATCCTTATGGAAAGAGACAAATCTCATTCTACCCCAGCAATTCACAGCCCTACACCCTCCAAAAGGTCCATGTCCACTTTAGGGAGTATTGTTTCCTGGAAGGTGTTTTTCCTGCCTCTCCAATAATCTTCCTTTTCCCTGCCTCTCCAATAATCTTCATTTTCCCTCTGTTTCTGCAGATTTATCTTGCCCGTGTCCCTCACGAGTCCTTACTTGTTCCTCTTTGTGCTCTGCTCTCTGATCACTGCTTCCCCTCTTGTCAAATTCTGCACTTGTGGAGTAACAACCTGTCACATTCATAACCTCTTTGCACCAAAAATGTTCTTTGATCTGTGCAAACTACATTTGATGCTGAAATCCTTGATATTAATATCTTTTGTTTGTGTGTCAGTGTTCTCTAGAATCTAATTAAGCAATGTTTTGAGAGCATTGTATATGTTTGAACAATTTGGCAGAGCAGACAATATGAGCTATTGACCTGCAAGGATAAATTGTGCTTGCAGATTCTAGGAATTCACACGTGCATGCTTCTTGATGCTGTTTCTCCTGAAATATGTGCATTCAGAACGAGGCCTTGCTTTGTAATAATATCTGCAAGGCTTAATCAACTATCTGCTCATGCTCTTTACTGTAATTGCACTGGCAGTTACAGCAGGGCACTACAGAGGTAGGTTTAAGCTACCAACACACCCAATATTAAAATAAAATAAAGAACAAGTTCTACCCAAGCACTAATAACAGAGATTATTCAATCAATATCCTCTCCTTATGAATGAATAGGCTAAATTGCCTTGGAATGATGTAAAGATTGACAAGGCAGGGGTCAGCCTGATAGAGCTACTTACCCTGATTTGACTGGAGTGATTTGAAAGGTGGCACTGAATGGCAGCAGGGTCAGGTGCCAAGCAGGTCCTCAGAGGGGCACAGTGGTTCTGGGGGATGCTCAGGACTGGCAGCAAACACAGCACACCTCTGCTGGATTGGACCTGGAGAGGGGCTTTAAAAGAGGGAGGGAGGGAAAAAGAGAGCAGCAAATTGTAGTAATGAGAATTGGAGAGATGATTCAGCTGGGTGAGGTGGGTGAGGAACTGTGCCCACACTCACTGCTGGCCCTGCTCACTGGGACAGGTCTGGTGGCTTAGGGCAAGAAAATTGGGGAAAATTGGGCCATTCTGAGCTTACCCCACCTTGACACCTGCTCAGATGTAGCTACCAGGTAAGAGCAGCTCCCAGTCCTGCCTTTGGGGCCAGGCTTCCCCATCCCCATATTTGCTGTTCAGTGGAGGGTGCAGTACCAATACAGGGGCCTTATCTCATTGCTTAGATCTCTTTAGGGAACTGAAATCAAGGACTTCAGGATATCAGTGATACCCACCAGGTAGGGCTGGAACACTGAGGAATGGCTCCACAGGACTCCACAATACTGGCCTGGAAGTGAGTTAGGGTCAGCCTGGGAGGCAGGCACATTTTGAGTGGTGGGGCTAACTCACCCTAAACCAGCTGCCCAATGCTGTCTGTGCTCCTGGAGCAGCAAGCTCAGACCTCAGGCTGTGTGAAATAAGGAGCACTCTCACACTGGGGAGGTTTGATGGAAAAACAGGCAGGGGTTTATTATCAACCTCACCATCCCTCACCTCTGTCCTGCTGGTGCTGAACTCCAGAGTCCCCAGGGCTAAATTCATGCTCCAGACCAGGGCCACCAGCTGACCGAGCCACACTCTTGGGCAGCCCTGTCCCTCCTGCCAAAACCATCATCTCCCCACAGCTGATTCCTCAGCTGGGCACTGGCACAGCCCTGAGGCTGCCACAGAGGCTGCAGGGACAAAAACATTCCCTGATGAGAATCTGAGCTTTCCTAACACTGACCTCGTTTGCTGGGGGGTTTTGCCTCCCTTTTCCTGTGAGCAGATAACATCCCAGGGCTGTGCACAAATATCCCTGCTTTGCACGGTGCTTTGGGCATGGAGCCTTCTCCACGGTGAGACTTTGCTCGTGGTTCTGCATGGGGAGAAACTTCCCTGGAGTGCAGGGCTTTCCCACATTCGGGCATCCCAGAAACCCTCCAGAAAAAGGCTGGGCTCCTCCAGAAACAGCACAGTGCCATCTATTGGCTTCCTCACCCTAACATGGATCAGAACCCTTAAAAAGTCCTGGGAAATCTGAGAAAAGTGGGGGAAAAAAAAGTTATGTGCACCCTGGCTTTCCCCAAGTTTCTGCCTGTCGTTCCCACTAACTCCTGCAGGCAGGCATGGTAGGTCTGGCAGTGGGAATATTTTGTTTTTCCATCTGATGCCTGGCGTTGTGTGTGAGCTGCCCTCTGGGCCCTGCTCCCCCAGCCTTATGGGGCAGTGACAGCTCAGTCCCCTGGGGGATGATTGTCCTCCTGATAATTCACTGCCACCACCACCAGGCTCCTCCAGCACAACTTCCAGAGCTCTTTTCCAGGTGGAAATGGGGAATTTATCAGGGATGCTGCATGACCCTGCTGGCAGTGCTGAGGTCCAGAAAGCCTGGACAAAGGGACAGCACAGACAATCTGTGTCTGGGGCTCATGTACCTGCATAGTAAATCCTAAAAATCTGACTTTGACACAGCAAACTGAGCAGAAATGGCCATTTCCTGAAAAGGCTTCAGTCCAGCATGCTCCTCCGTGTAGGAATGAGAGCTGTCCCCTGTCCCTGGGCTGGCTTACTGTGTTTTACATGGGAGCACCTGCACTGAGGTGGTGGCTGGATTTATCACTGTGCTCACACATCAGCTTCAGAGCTCGAGGATGATTCAGGTTGAATGACTGTGAACAAATGAAGATTATATTACCACTGTACAGGATTAAGGAATTACTGCTCCAAACATTTTTCATTGTATTAAAGAAATTAATGAAAAAATGCCAAAAGAAAACTGAAATTCCTAATGGGAGTTAAGAAAGGATTTTTTCTAGTATTTTTACCCCCTTTTCTTACTAGAGGAGAAGATTTTGTAAGTAAACCAAGAGATGGTGTCCCCAGAGAGGCACTGAGGGTGCTGCCTGAGCCAAGCAGAAAGTTCAGGATCCAGTGCTGATCCTGCACAACCTCCCCTCCTTCCTTGAATTTTCCACCTGAGAATGCACAAGATAACCTTGCATTCCCCTCCAGTTCACAGGAGCAACCTAGGCCTTCATTAGTTAATACCTGCAAATGCTATTTGAAGATGTAAAGTGTTCCATAAATGTGAAATATTATTATTGCTATAAAGGAAGAAGTGGAAAGAAACAGGGACAAAGTTCAGCTGAAGAGCTCTCTTGTTACTGATAAAACAGGGTCTTGAATGATGGATGGATAGATGGATGGATGGATGGATGGATGGATGGATGGATGGATGGAAAGTTTACACCATTTCCACACAATGAAATTGTCACCTGGAGTAGTTTCACTCTAAGTTCATTCGTGTCCAGACCGACCATGTTTAGTTGGGAGGTGGCCTGAGCAGCAGAGAGGACAAGAAATGGTGGAGCCGAAGTGTCTCCATCCACATCTGTCCACCCTGGAGCCGAGCTGAGGGCTCTCTCCCCATCCCCATCCCCATCCCCATCCCCGGTGTATTTGCAGCAGCAGCTCTTTGCTGTTCTCCACCCAGAAATGGCATTTTCCCCTCTGGGAGATCCCTGCAGATGTCCCTGTGCTCAGGACACAGCCCTGGGGCTTCAGTGGCCACAGGCCAGACACCAGGGAGCCAGCCAGCCTGAGGGAAAGCTTCTAATGTTTTCTACATTAATATTAAGTGCAGGGAACGTTTGAGTCACTATTTCCAAGCTGAGATGTTGTGCTTTTTTCTGCAGTCTCGCAGGGGATAAGTTCCAGCCACCAGGATTTCTTTCTGGACTATGCTTTATAATTTTTGGAACCTAAGTAGACCTAAATTTTAAAGGAAATTATTTCCTCATCTCCTTCATCACTAAACCCTCAAATATTTTTGAAATTCACAAAGGGCAGCAGCCATTATTTTGTGCACAGCCAAAGCCAATTAAATACAGCTTGGCTTTGCAGCAGCAACCCAGTGGTCCAGGCTGAATTTTGGGAGTGAGGTTTCTGCACACCAGGGTGAGCCTGAGTGAGGCAGTGGCCAAATCTGTGCCTCAGTTTCCCTTCCCATGAGATGCAGCCAGCACCTACTGACCCATGTGCAAAAACACTTCCTAAACCACGCATGAAAGGCCCTACACAAGTAGTTATTAATATTAATAATAATAATTGTTGCTGTTACTAAGCCAAGTATAAAAATAATTTTTCAGAGAAACAAAGTGCCCTGTCTCGTGGTGATAGATTACATGATGCTGGAAATTACTCACAGTATGAAGCTGGTTTCCACTCTGGTTCTTTTCAATAAATTATAGACCGAGCCCCAAGTGAGTACAGTTTACCAAAGAAAATTCAAAACAGGCAGAAAGTACATTCTCCCATCAATTGTGCTCACGACCATTTGGGGTTTGCTCCTGATAAGGAGTTAAATATCCCCCAGCAGTTTCCCAGAACCTTTTCCTGGGGCTGGTGGGGACATGGTCGGGCAGATGGCTCTGTGCTGTGCAAAGGGAAATGGGGATCCTAGTGAGGATGGATAGAAGGGGACATGTCCCATATCCCATGTCCTATGTCCCATATCCCATATTCCATGCCCCCCATGTCCCATATTCCATGTCCCATATCCTATATCCCATATACTGTATCCTGTGTCCCATGTCCCATATCCCATGTCCCACATCCCATGTCCCATATCCCATATCCCGTGTCCCAAATCCCATATCCCGTGTCCCATATCCTATGTCCCATATCCCATATCCTGTGTCCCATATCCCGTGTCCCATGTCCCATATCCCATATCCAGTGTCCCATATCCCATATCCCATGTCCCATATCTTGTGTCCCATATCCCATATCTTGTGTCCCATATCCCATGTCCCATATCCCATATCCCATGTCCCAAATCCCATATTCCATATCCTGTGTCCCATATCCCACATCCCATGTCCCCATGTCTCATATCCCATATCCCAAACCCCATGTCCCAAATCTCATATCCAATGTCCCAACCACCCCCTGGGTGCTGCTCCTCCCTCTCCCGCTGCTCCCCACACCTCACCGGGCACGGCTGCATCTCCCCTCTCCCCACGCTCTATTTCCAACTCCCATTTTTGGGGTTCCACTCCCATCCCTACCAGCTCGATCCCTTCCAGCTGGGGCCGCCGCTGCTCGCGGGGTGCCGGGGCTGCCCGCGGGCAGGTGCGGGGCAGAGCGCAGCATATGCCGCGCCTTTGGCAGCGCTCAGCTGGGGCCTGGCGCCGCTCGCAGGCACCATCTGGCCCTGGCAGCCCCGAGGAGCCTTCCCTGGCAGTCCCAGCCCGGTGCCAGCGCGCTGGGCACGACCGCGGGGCCGCGGGCGCCGGGCGGAGATGGGAGATCCGGGGGTTCCGTGCCGCTGGTCCCGGGGGGAGCGGAGCCTTTGGCAGGGCCTTGGAGCAGCTCGGGCATCGTCTCCTGTGCCCGCAGGTCCCTCCAGCATCGGGCGATGGGGAGGCGGCACACGGCGGGGAGCGATCCCTTTGGGGATCCTGCACATCGCATCCTGCTTGCAGCACCTGGACCTGCTGGTGTGGGCAGCACAGGAGGCACAAATGGGAATTATTTATGGCTAAATGAATCGCTCTGCCTGTGGTCTGCCCTGAAAGCTGAGCCGTGCCTCCGACTGGCACAGAACACCTGGGATAGGGGCTATGTGTGTGCAGTATCCTGGCTCCTCCTCCCTGAGGAAGTACCAGCACTAAAAACATTTCTGGGTGGCTGGAGTAAGGTCAAAGGGAATTCAAACAAAACCAAAACCAAATACCCCAAATAAAATAAAAATTTTAAAAGCCCAAAAAAAACCCCAAAAAACAAAACAAAGCAAAACAAAAACAAAACAAAAAACCCACAACAAAACAACAACAACAAAAAAAACCAAACCAAAAATAAACAAAAAAAACCCCCTCCACACCTGAAGCCTGCCTGGCATTCTAACAAGGTCCACGACAGCAGAGTCCATGGCTACTACAAATCTGTGCAGGATATGTCCCACTCAAGGACTTTAGGATAAACCTAAGCCCATTTGGTTTGCTTTCCATGATGCTCCCATGTTTTGCCTGTGCTGTGATCACAGCTCTCTGAATCCCATCCACCCTCCAGGCAAGCCCTGCTCCTGCCATCGCTCCCAAATCCCTTCCCACTGAGGATTGGCAGGAAAAGGGTGGCATGAGCACACATGAGCAATGCCAAACTCTGGGACCAGCTCTGGCCTGGAAATACCTGAGGTGTGGGGAGAGATGCTTCTGCTCCCACTGAGCTGTCCAGCAGTCCCAGCTCTCTGCCAAAATGCGGTCACAACTTATAAAAACACAAAGGAAAAGGGCACAGAGAGGCTGCAGGGAAAAGGGCTTCCCTCCCTCCTGTGCAGTGAGGGGCCATTCCCACAGGCTGACAGGAGACAAAACTTTCTGCAATGAGCTGTGCTTGCAAACATCCAGTCTTCCCCTGGGGAAAAGGGTTTCCCCCACCTCCTCAGCTGTAGCAGCAACAGCAGTTGTGAGTCAGCAGGGAGATGTGTATTTTAGCTCCCAGAATGATTCTTTCTGACCTGCTCACCCTTGTGGTGGCCCACTGCAGCAAACTGCCCCTGATCAATGACCATAGGGGCAATCCTCACCTCTATCTGTCCAGGCACCTCTCCCAGCTCAATGAAAATTCCCTTCTCTTCCTAGCCAGTTCCACCAGAAACTGGCGCATCCCTAAAAGCAACTTGCACCCACGGAAAGTGGCAGTGTGACATCAGCACATGCAAATGACTTCTTTTGTGTGTGTTCAAAGTCAGAGAACACAGCTCTCTAAGTGCCTTGGAGCCCGGGACCCCGCAGTCCTGGGCAAAGCTGTGCATCATCTGTGCAACTGCACAGAAAATAAGCATGCAAAGTCACGGCTGCAGTGGAGCAGAGCCTCTCACAGGGTCCATTTGCTGCTATTTGCCAGCAAATTCTGGTTGCAATTGCACTGACATAAACCCACTGCAAGACACGTGTCAGTGATGCCACACCAGAGCTCAGCAGTGCACCTGCCAGGACCCATCAGTACAACCCCAAATCTGACCTCTCTTTCCCTTGTATTGAGAAGGAAACAGTCTGATTTCTTCCTTGCCAGAAACTGACCCCCAAATGCAAACAAAACTCAAGTTTTGCTAGATCCTTGTGTGCCAGAAGCTGTGAACTCGAAACAGCAAAGTGCTGCCTATCCTGCAGACTGCTTTGTGTAGCATTGATATATCTACCTATACCTAAATAATAAATATATATATGTACTACACAACTGGCTATTTTGCATGTAGAACAGCTTAAAGACAGGCTAACCCCAAACTTACTTGAAGCCCTTTAGCTCCCAGGCCTCTCTAACAGCATGGCCATCCCTCTGG